AAATATTTAATATATTATTCCAAAAATTTTACTGTGTATTCTCAAAACATGTATAAATATACCCTCAAAATTTTAAAACGATTGATTCACTAGTTTTTTTTTTTTTTTAATTCCCAAAAATCGCCTTTTTTTTGGCTGTCACACTAGGTGTGCCCCTTAATGTAATTGTAATGTATACATGTGTTTATGTGTAAAACCTTCCTTGATTCGATTGAAACCTCACGTGGACCCATCGTCATTTTGTTCTCATAGAAAATGTAACGGAGCACGTCAGCGATCGATTTCAAAACTGTTATTTCTTTACATACTCTTATTCTACCGACACGTTGACAAGGTTACTCTCGCGTTCATGAAAAGGTCTCTAGTACAATACATCCTTGAACTTACATTGAATGAATATAAAATATATGACCCACAGACTAGTTAGATCAAATGTTCGGTCATAGTTTTTCCGAAAAAGAAAAGTATTTGCATATATACGTGTGTGTGTGTGTGTGCGTGTGTGCATCGTCTCTAATCTGTTATTAAGTGTAATTAAATAAAAAATAAAGAAAAAGAACTAGTGAACACAAGTACGATATTTATTTATTTATTTATTTATTTATTTTACGGGATAAACCCACTAGTACAAAAAAAAAAAAAAGAAAGAAAAAGATACAATAAATGAGATCAGGATAAAATACAAAGTAGAGATTGTAACAAAATAATGATTACAAAAAAAAGAAAAAAGAAAAATAAAATAAAGATTATAAAAAAAAAAAAGAAAAAAAGATTATAAAAAATAAAGAGTATACAAAATAAGATTACAACGTACGTTTGAGAATATTTCTTACAATAGAAATATTGTATGTAATGCGATAAGATAAATTATATATTATATAATACAAATAATCTTGATTAATTATTATTTTTGTTACTTTAGTTATCATTAAATCTCATTAATCCATCCATTCGTCCAATAAAATTCGACTAAAACCGAAGGAACTTAATTAATATTCATCAGGATACTCGAAACCTCGAGACAAGACTTTCTCTTATTCAAATTCAGGAGTGGATTGATCCATTCTTTTATGAGAATATTTTTATTACGAATTTTTATTCGATCCAAAAATTTAATCGTAAAAGTAATATATATAAATATATATAAATTACAATTATTTTTTTATATAATTAAAATTAAATATATGAATTATTTAAAAAAATTTTGTGGGAAATACTCTTTTCAAAGTAATGATATATTATTTATATACACAAGGTGCAAAACAAGATATATACAGCATTGTATTAAGTTATCACGTAATCAGTCAGTCAGTATCGTACCTGGTGACCAAAGTGACAGTTGTTTGTAAAAAAATTCACAACTTCTAAGTCTTCATAATTTCGATTATTATTTCTACAAAATGATTTGAAAAAAAAAAAAAAATGAAGAAGAATAAATCAACGAGATTAGAATTAGATTATTATTTGCATTTAATTAAATAGAAGAGATAAAATCACGCAGGTGTAACTAAACTTGGAGCCATGCATCGATCACAAAAACGTCTTATTAATCAACTAATCAAAATTGTAATTGTGTGCGGTTTGATCTTGATATTATTTAAATTAAACGTCACTATGAAAAATAATGAAACCGAGCCTATATTCATTTTGACAGATTTACTGGTAAGTCGATAAATAATCGGTTAATTTTATTATTTTCTTTTTGTTTCTTTTTTGTGATAATGAAAATCTCGTGAAAACGATATTACAATTTGTACATTTAATCGAATAGAATGAAGCAGAAAAAATAAATAACGAGAGATTATTAATCGTCGATGAAGTATGTAAAGAATACAGATTAGGTATTTACAAAGATTCGAGCAAAGTTTTGTTTAAACATCCACCCGCACCGCAATACAGTGTTTTCTATATCGTTAGGTTTGTACAATAAATAATAAATTATGATATATCTTGTATATGATGAAATATTAACAATATATACATTATTTCAGAGATCATAACATTTCATATTGTCCATTATATAAAGCCAGCAGTACAACTTGGTTATATAATTTATGTTTGTTAATGAATGTATCAGAAGAAGAATTAAACAATGGTAAAGAACAATTATCGACTATTGCGAGAAGGGTCATAGCCGAATTAGAATATCCCGAAGCTGAGGAGGTAAAATATAATCTAAAAAAACAATCCTAAACGTTAACGATTAGAATAATTTATTCCTCAAGAAAAAATAATGTCTGTCTTTGCATTAACAGGCATTGAGAAATACGAACAAATTATTAGTGGTAAGGCATCCATTCGAAAGATTGTTGAGCGCGTATCGTGATAAATTGGAAAATTCTGTGGCTGGTCGTGAACACGGAACTCTACATTTTTATCAGAAATATGGAGCAATGATCGTTAAAAAATATCGTAGTGAGTAGATGATAAAAATCAAATAACTATACTTATCAACGTCAAAGTTAATCGTGACACAATTTTTATAATGCAATTATTATTATTCATTTTGGATAGGTAGACATTTTGTAAAACCACGTGACGATGAAATAATTAAACGAAGGGGTGTTCAACCACCGGCAGGAATCGAACCAACATGGCGAGAATTCGTTGATTACTTGATCAACACGGATTTAGCTAGTTATGCTGACGACCATTGGATTCCATATTATCTATATTGTACACCGTGTTTGATTAAATACGACATCATTGCTAAGGTTCGTTCAAAATGTAATGATTGCATAACAATATTAATTATTAATGCTGTGATTTAAAATATGTCGATTTATTTAGGTTGAAACACTATCGCGAGATCAAATTTATGCATTGAACAAATTAGGATTGAACAAAATGATCAAACCAATTTGGAGACACGGTAGTGGTTATTCGAATGCTTCGAGTATATATTTCAGACAATTGAGTAGAAAAATGGTTGAACAACTTTACGAAAAGTTCAGATTGGATTTTGAACTGTTTGATTATTCTCCTGATAATTATTATAGATATGCCGTAACCTCGGATTAAAAAAAAAAAAAAAGAAGAAGATAAAATAAAGGCAATTATGTAAATAATATCTGGTAAATATTATCGATTAATAATTATGAATTAGATAAAAAGAAAAAAAGAGAGAGAGAGAGAAAAAAACACACAGAATGGGTGAGTGAGAGAAGGAGAAGAAAGAAAAAAATGCAAAGTTTTATGAACGTTCTTACGCGATCCTGTAATTAATCGAGTTTAAATCGCGTTACGCCACGCGACGAACGAAACTTTTGTCGACAAAATCGATTGACCTACTTACTTCCAACAATAATGTATCGGAACGATCTATCCTAAACCCAAAAGGTTTGTAGACTTAACTAGCGATGATACTCTCCAATGATTCCCATGCAATATTCATTATCATATATACCTTATTAATACTATATGACTTAATAGAATACCATATGAGTTGTTTATTTTAAAAGTGGCGTAAGTCCAATCATAATCCATAAAAAAAATATTTTATTGTTTAAATATAATATTAATTATTCTAATTGAAACGATAAATTTTCCCACCCCCTAAATCCCAGAAACATTATTATATTATTTTAATAATCAATATTCTTGTCCAAAAAATATATTAATATATAAGTCTCAAAGTAAAGTAAAAAATTAGAATTTATTGTAATGTTTATATTTATTAACAAGTCATAATAAAAAATGTTTAGTTGCTGATGAAGTCCCCAGTAAGGGACGAAACGTACAACTAATTCAAAATAAATTGTTCATCAGATTTATTAACCGTCTATAATTCCCTTTGAGACTTATATATTATTATATTATGTCATCTGTTATCCATATTTTTAAATTTAATCCAATGTAGATCCTTCAATATTTCAATGAAGAACATAAGTGGACTTACGATACTTTCAGAATAAATGACTCAATGTATGTTTGAAATACGTCATCCAAAATTCTTACCTTGTTATGCAAATCATCCAAAACTTCACGATTAACCAATCCCAATTCTTCCCAACTTGGTTCCTGTGATTTATTCTCGTTCTTGTTGTTGTTGTTGTTGTTGTTGTTACCACCGCCAGAAGTAACGTTTCCATTTCCCTTATCATGACTCGTTTTAATTCTATATCGTATTTCTTCGGATTCATTAGAAGATTTCCGTGAATTCATTTTATTAACCGAATCAACATTCTTTACTGGCAAACATGAATCACGTGTATCACGTGAATCACGTTTGAATGTTTTCGAGCTATGAATCTTTCGTATATTATTAATAGATTCACGTTCGTTTGATTTTAATCCTGACGTAGTTGGTAAGCCAATGTTATCCTTTATCTTTTCATCGATTTTCAAGGATCTCTCGTTGTCACCTTTTTCACGATTCAATTCGTTCGAGATAGCTTTGTTATCAACTTTCGTATCAAACGATGATAATGATCTATTAGTATCTAGAATATTTTCGTTAGACGAATGAATATTGGATTGATTTTTCATCGATGACATTTCAGGGATATTATTATTATTATTATTATTATTATTAAACGATTTATTATCTTTATCTTTGACAGTTTTGATTTTTTGTTTGAATTCTTTCGATTCGTAATTATTTTCTATCACTTTCATGGAGGGAACGCTGAACGATCTGAACAATCTTGTATCATCTTTATCTTTTCTATGATCATTTTCTCGTTGAATATCGTCGGACGATTTATCGTTGTTAAAAAGATTTTCTACGAAAGATCGATTATTAGATTCGTCGATATTTAATTTCGGTGATGCCGATCTATTAGATGTTTCTAGAGATTTTTCATTGCGTTTATCTTTCTTATCGTTTAACTGACGATCGATCGATTCGATAAGAAAAAGTGGACTGTTCGTTCGCGTTAGGATACCTTTTTTCGGGCTTAGGTCAGCATTGTGAGTATAAAATTCTCTTTTAGGACTATTCGAAAGTGATCTTGACATTCTTCTATCGTTGTTACGTCTAGCAAAATGAGGACTGTTGGGTTGAGATATAGATCTACGACGTGGTCGTTCCGATGGCATTTTTGTAGCTGGTGAAACTGGAAGGGGTATCCTAGTTTTTGAAGAAACTACGAGAACCGATTCGGTATCGTCGCTATCGGGTGTCCTTAATTTAACAATTTCACCACCGAAGTGTACACGCCTGGGTGTTTTCCTTTTGTCGTTATGTTCACTCGTTATTTCAGTTTCGTTTCTTACATCCGTACCACTTTCTTCAGCCTCTTCGTCTTCCTCGCTGTTCGTTGATTTTTCTTCTAGAATTGTCATAGTTATAGCAGTCTCTTCGTTGAATTTTATTTCTGTTTCTAATACCACTCGTGCTGGTGGTGCAGATGCAGGTATAATTCCTGCATCAACGATTTCATCTTCTTCCTCAGCAATGCCAGAAGTATCACTATCGCTATCCCAAATTCTATCGCAAGTAGTAGTTGATCCAACATCTTCTTCTTCTAAATTGTTAACTTCTTTCCTTTCCAAAGATACCTTAGTTTGGTTCTTCTTACTCGGTTTAACGTTGTAAACCTTGCAGAGAACTTCCAAGTGTTTTTTCAGTTCACCGTCGTAACCGGAAATAATGTCGTCGAATTCACCGGTACCTATCGTCTCGCGAATTTTCATCAACGATTTGAAAATAGCTTCCTGATAGGTAACCTGAGTCAAACGCGAGGCCAATGAAAAGGTTACGTATTTGATGATATCTTTGCTAGGACGTGTACTATTCGACGATGGGAATAACAATGATGGTGCACTTAATATCACTCCTGTTATCAAATTCGTTTGGAATACGTCCTGAGCATCTCGTCGATTAAAACCATCCCGAAATATCTAAACAATTACGTACGATTTATCAGAATCAACGAGAATCCATTCGGTTCAACTTTACGTCAGTTTAATTAACACATTCGTGACAGGCTTTGTCGTTAGAACAAGGTGTCATTCAACTGCAATACTACATTTAATTACTTTAAATATATAACATATTATTAATAGTAGAAATAATACTACAAATTGAACAAGTTTAACACGTTGATTTAGCAATGAAACAAAATTGATCGACCAAATGAACAATTACAAATGTTAACCGGTCACGAATGTGTTAATCATTAATCCTTTTAATCCTTACATTTTTCACGATCCTTTCTTTATCAAGACAATGTACGAGGTAAACTCTCAATGCGTCCAAAGCACCCTTACGAACGGCCGGTGCTGCATGACCTAAATTATTTAATAATTCTGGTACCACCGGTTGCATTACCTCGTCGACGATTTCTGCGGATAGAGTCGGCATCACGTCCATTAAAACACGAACCGCGTGTTGACGTACTTCCCATTCTGGATCTCGCAATCTTTCTGATATCTCCACAAAGATCAATCGAGTATCGATCTCTGTTGGAAATCTTCTCGTTCGAACCTATTCGAATTATGTTTTCTTATATTTTCAACTATCATCGCGATGTCGTGGTAAAGCAACATAAATAAATTCTTTATTAATTATTTAAGAGAAACAACTTTAAGAACAAACAAACGGATGATGTATCTTGAAAGTACCACGACGAGTTAACTCGTCATCAACCCTTTGAGATATGGAATTATTAGAAAACAAAACGACCCATGTTATATATGAATACTGTACTGAATAAATATTAAGGAATATGATAAATGATAATAAATTGAAACGTGATCTAATTTAATACGAACCACGTGTTCCCAAAGTGGAGTTAGTTGTATTGGTGTACCAGTCGGTGGTGGTAATGGAGTCATCTTCCGACGAGGCTGATGATGCTGACTTCGTTCCTCGTTCACGAAAGAATCGTGAGAAAATAATGTTGTCCTTGTAGGAATAGGTGAGGTTTCCTGGGGCCTTAGGCCCTCCGAGCTTGTAGATCCTGTCATAGATGTCGAACCGATGGAACACACGAAGAACCCGGATACTTACGTTTCGTTTCGTTGAAACCATCTGTCCTTCATCCTATTCTTCTTATTCTTCTTCTTACTCTCTCTCTCTTTTTCTAAAGATCTTTTTAGCAAATTCTTATCCTGTTGAATAAAAATATTATTTACGTAGTAAATAATGTTCGAAAAGTTATGGTAGGATAACGTTTTTAAAAATTGACTATATATAAGATAGTGAAAACTTATGACTGTAATAAAAATGATGTTACATTGACTTATGAACATAACTATCAAGTTGCTGAGGAAGTCTCAATTAGAGACGAAACGTTTCAACGGATAAACATATTGTTCATCTAATTTTAAACCTGTCCAAAAAATAACATCCCTAAGAATTAAACTTAGTAATATTATTTACGAAAGTTTGCTTATCAAAAATGTGGATATGATTTATTTATATTTTTTTCTTATGTTTTTTCTTTATCATAGTCTTTCGATTTTCCAAGAAAGCTTTTAAAGCGATCCAATCTACGAACACCACTACATTTTGCATAATCGAATGACCCGCATTCTAAAATAAAACCCTATTTACCAATGGTATAATTTACTCAACTCTTAACTACGCCATGATGTTTCCTTATTTCGTTATCGTTCATCCTATACCTATACATACTTCTTATTTTCTATATGACACGACCTTTTTTCCATTCACGTGTCAGAAAAATACTAGCAACTACGGAAGAGGGTGACTTACCTTATTACCAACAATATGAACACGTTTATCGAGCGATTTTTACGATATATACGCGTGTGTATGTGTATTTATTCATATTTGTAACACAGATATAAGAAGGGATAGAGTTGATTAGAATATGTTCTTCAACCCTCTTGTTACAGGCTCGCGTTATAACCAATTTATATTTAAAAGCAACAGGGGGATGTTCGGATAGGATCGGTACTTTATTAGTTATTATAAACTTATCAGCGTCCTCTCTCCCTTTCACCCTTTTTCACTCTACTTTCACCCTCTTTTTCAAGCGGTACTTTTAAAAAGAACAAAAAAAAATAGAAAAAAGCGACCAAGCAACCTACCGAACGGGGAAAAACTTGTGCCAAGTTTATCGTCAAATCTCACGACACGAACTTGGTGGTATAAAAGTAGTACACACGAAATGCACTATTGCATAACCAAAAGAAATTCTCCCTATATAATATCAGAGAGATCGTTTGTAACCGAACTTATATATATATATATATACATTTTCTCGAAACGTTTCCCCTTGAAAATGAATAGAAAATTACAAAGAAAAAAAATATACAAACGTAAGGTTTAACTATTGTATAAAAAAAAGTTTTCAATAAGTGAATATATATTTATTAGCTCGAGATGAAATAATCGAACGTTTAGCGATATAAGATTATTCCCATTTTGTATTAATTATTATTGTTTAAGCTAATATTTGTCTGTCAACCCTTATTTTTGTATTGTATGAACCTACCGTATATATTAGTATTCTCATTTCTTTCCTCTTGTAATTGTTTCACCAATTATGTGTCATAGTGTTCGTTAAAAAAAGAAAAAGGAAAGAAAATTTTGAAGTATAAAACGTTTAAAAAAAAAAAGGAAAAAAAGAAAGTAAGAAGTTAATATTTATAATGGTGAAGACACGCGTATATTGAGGAAGCGGAAGTGGAAACTAGAAACGGTATCCTCACTTGACCACGACCGGCATGTGACTATTGCCCCTGTTCCTCGCGAGCATGGTGGTTCAAAAGTAATATCGACCATTTCATCCCCACTTTAGTAAAACTGTTTCCAACTCTTGAACTCTTACTCGACGATAGAAGAACGAACAAGCTTCGATCACCTTTCGTTCATTTTTTACTTTTCTTTTGCATACAATAATGTACAAAATGCATACAATATCTATCATTATTTTATTTCTTATTAACATTATTCATTTCATCCCCAATTTATTAATAAGAATTTATCTTTGATTTTGTGCAGTAAGACAAAATAAAAATCTATAAGTTTATGCATTTATTTATTTATTTCATTTTTTTTTTCTTTTTGTATGCATTCCAAGCTGTAGCTTCTCGAAGGTCAGATAACAGTACCTCCTCTTTATACATCCATTATCGATGTTCAATATTTATCTCCCCTTTAGCGTGACTCGCGATTGATCATTTCATTATTAAAACCCAGTCACGAGATTTTCTCTTTAACAATTCTTCCCCTCGTTATTTCAAGTAGCATACGTTCAACGTATTAAACTATGAAATTATTTAACAATTGACAATTGTTCTCTATTTAATTATTATTGCCGATCGCGAAGCTTATTTTTATTTTTTTTTTTTTTTATAGGTATTATATCGATAAAAAACTATTTATATTAAAAAAGAAAAAGTAACATCTATTTATTAATACGTAATAAAATTAATAATAATAATAATATGTATGAGGAGATAAATATATATAAAATGATTAATACACCATTTTTTTAAATGAATATATATTATTATTTTTAATAAAATTATAATAATCTTTGTTTGTGACTTGTTCGCATTTTGCATTTCCAGTTTGATAACAATATGTTTCTATTCTACATATGTAATCTATTATTATATAGAATGTATCAGGACTTCTCAAAATATAGGTCGCAACCCCATAAGGAGGTCGTATTACGAAATTCAGAAATCGTAGAAATTTGAACATAACTAAAAAATTAGTATGAATATTTGGTTTTCTCTTTAATGCATGGTAAAATTATATTCGTATGTATAACAAAGAATTGTTTTCGAATAAATTTTCTTTGCGATTTATTATTCAGCAAACGTTTGAATTCGTATTCTTAGTTTATATATCTCTATACCAATAAAGAGGATCGCAAAGTGGAAAAATTGGAGAAATCCTGACATATGCTATATAAGTCAACTTTGGGATTTAAGTAATTCATTAATTAATTACTAAAAATAATTAATTAAATAATAATTTGTACGACATATGTTTTCACACGCTTGTACATATAATGTCTATACTAATAATTATATATATTTTTTACTTTCTAATAAGTAATATAAATAACTATTATAAATTTTATAAATACATTAATATCACACACATATACTTAGTTAATCTTTGATTATTGATCGATTAAATAAAAATACTTTGTTGAAATAAAATAAACTTAGTGCTCAGTTTCATACTGATTCGAAATTAATACTTCTATATATTCTAATAACTTTATTTTTGACTATATTGCTGTAAGAATTTATTCATAATTACTATTATATTTTAACAATCTATTGTACGATTCTTTAAACCATCAATTGTTTAGATTCTATTCCTGTTGGTTTTTCATTATTAACCGGATTTTGGGAATACAAAATTACAGAGTAGCTAACCATGGCAATAGATACTACTGTATTTATAAAAATAGGTATATCGAATATAATCCAACATAAAATTGCTGTAAATACTAATTCTAATGCACTAGCAAATGTCTTTAATATAGAATTTAAGTTTTTTAAGAAAAAACTTGTTATAATACCAATGGCTGTATTGTTTAGCATTATTATTATTACCTTGGGTTGCATCAAGATGCTAGATCCAACATTATTGAATATACCAGTAACATTGGTTCGAAATGTTATTAATAATAAAAATACTATAACGTTGCATAAAATACTATCAACGTACATGAAGACATTTTGTACAAAAATATTAATATTCGCTCCTTTCTTGAGTAAATATTCATTATAAACTCCAGCTAAGCATGAACAAAATGTCTGTAAGATAAAATAATTAATTTTGTATATAATAACCAAGACGTTTTACCAAACAGATATATAAGTATTATATTAAATAGGACTAACCTGAATAAAGATGAGATATATATTTTTATTTAGTACAAATTTAGCACTAACATTCGCATCCATACTAATATTTACATGTTTTATCATGCAACCAAGAGTCAGCAATAATAAAGACAGCCATTGCTTTACAGATAATTTCTTTTTAAATATAAGCTGAAGAAACAAAAAAGAATATTATAAAATCACATTAATATAAATAAAAATAAATTAATAAATATTTACCTGAAATATAATTCCTGTCATAACAACACGGAATTGCAATAGAACATAGTAAGTTGTTGGATCGAATGCAGCCAAATTGATAAATGCCAGATTATTATACAGGCAATATAAAAATGAAGGTATTAAGTATAGTAGAAGCACTAAAAATATAGAATAACAATTATTTAAACTGTTCTCTATAGATATGTTATATAGATAGAGAAAATATTCTAATGTTATCTGACTAAATTTAATCTATTTATGATTAATTACATACCCTTTTTATGCGTTCCAATCTCTTGAAAAAGAGATAATATTTTATTACTGAAAACACATAGACAAATGTTTTTAAATATTATATATATGTATATACATATAAAAAGGCAAGTAAAATGAAAAAGATTTGCTTTTGAATGCACTTACTCTTTCCAATATAAAATAGCTGATACAATTAATTTTAAAACCTCTGTTAACAATACCACTGTTACAATGTTATATTCGTATTGACCATTTTTTTGAGACCATGTTACAATAATTCCTGTAATATATATATATGTATATATCCATATAAACAATATAAGAAACAATTTGACTTAATTGGTCAACAAGTGCATCTAAATAATCACTTTATGAATCTATAATTCTACAAAATAATATAATTATATATTAGAAACAAGTATTTCGATAAATACTTTTTCAAAAGATTTATCATATAAACAACAAATGCAGTGATGCAAAATAATAACTTAACCTCAAATTTACCTTGATTAATAAAAAGAGCCATATAAGAAAGAAAAATAACAGGACTCCATCTTCCTGGAAACAATTCTCCCCAATTTATAGATCCCATTTTTATAATGATTATTATATTTTAAAACATTATTTTAAATATGAAATATTAGAATCATGGTAAAAATATATATTATACAAACTGACGTGAGAAAGCCGCTTAAATGTCCGTTCGCTATCTAGTTATTTTATCTTCTCTTTCATATCAGTATTAAAATAAAAAAAAATAATCTTTTTACAATTATACTTATCAGTCAGACTTTCATTTTTAAAGGTGTATTTTGTTATATCTACTTTCTTTTTTAGGAGATAGCATATCCCCTGATAAATTACGATATCAAAAAAGATTCTGTTTTTTTTTTTCTCTAAGAAAAGAACAGGTGAATAGAGTTTTTTTTTAATAAAGAGATTTTTGTAAGTTGGTTGCTGACTTATAATTATTTATTGTACATCATCTATAATACATATATTCTTATTTACATTTCCGAAAAGATATAATGAAATTTTTTTATATAATGCTTCGTCTAATTATATTAAATATTATTTCTACGAATAAGTAATATTATTTATATCATTTTGTTTAATTACTTATTGTTAGATATATATCAAGACGTTCTTCTTTGGAAGCTCTAATGCGAACTTTATTTTCTTTTTTATTTCTTTCTACTTATTGTACAAATATAACAGCATAATATAAATTTAATTCCATTAGTTATTACACTTTGTAGCCATAAATTATGCAAATCAATACAAGCCAATTTGTTTAAAACAGTCTTTCTCTAATAAGTGTGATCAGTGTATAATAAATAAATAAACAAATAAATCTATTAATGTGTAAGAGACTGTAGAGAAAGAGAGAGAGAGAGTTAACAGTAATTACTAATTCAATTATAAAAGTAATAAATGTATTGTTTTTTATTTATGAGAGCATAGAAAATTATGAATTAGAAATATTTTTATCAAGATACTCTTAATTAGACTTTAAGACAAATTTTTCCATACTTTGAAATAGATTTATGTATATTTATTTATATATGTATATTGAAGAAATAATGATTAATTTTCCTAATAGCAATTATTTTATTAAATATCTCATATTTATCGTAAAAATGGAGTTGTATACGAATAAAGGCAATACAAAGTCAGTACTACTTTCTTTGAATTTCTTTCAGAAGATTCATCTAGATCTTGTATGATTCATATAATGTTGGAATATTGCATAAATGTATATACTAGCTTGTGTCAAATAATCAAATGGACATTTTTATGTGATATTCAAAGACAAATAATGTAATATTTTTTGTTTAAATTTTAAAATTAAAAGACATTTCAATGAATTTATTTTTTGTATATAAAAACTTAGTTTTCACAAATCACTAAACAGTACAATACATGTATAATTGCGTTACATCATATTATATAAAATGAAAATATCTTTTAAATTAATTATTAGTTTAACTCTGGTAACAACATCATTCATTTAAATTAATATCTTAAGTACTTTAAATAATGTGAACTATTAACAAAAAATTAAACAATATTTCATATATTTATATTAATACCATGATAATCATATTGTGTTTAAAAATTTCAAAATTTAATTCATTTGCTATTCGATTATATATTGTTTTTCGAGTTTTTTTTCATATATTAAGCCCTCAGTCTTGCATGTACATTATGCATTAAGAACTTGTTAAAATCTATTAATAGAATCATAGTTTCTATCACAGCCAGTTTATAAAATTTGTGAAGAAATGAAATGGAATATGTTTTTCCTATATGGTATATGTTAAATATAAATATAAAATGTATATGTATCAACATTATTGAATGCAAGATGTGTTTATATGAAAGCTATTACATGTTATAGTCAAATATAGAATATATAATACTATTTCATATATTATATATTATATGAATGTATTTTCTTTTCCTTATATTTCATTTATAATGATTTATTAGAAAAAAATTTAAGTTCTCTGTGTGCATAATGTACAACATGACAAATTTTTGACTAGACTCGGGCAATCAGCTCACAACACAAGTTTTAAGTTACCCTATAATAAAATAAAAATCTATAATTTTATATATGAAATATGAATTGATTCAAAGAGATGTAATTTAATTATTATTAATTATAATAAATGTTATCGTGGTCTACCGATTTTGTAATACCTTATGAATTTCATTTTGTTAACTATCAAAATAAATATATATTGTATTAAAAGCAGAGATAAACGTTTATAATATTTTATATTTATGTGTATAAGATAAATTAAAAACTTTCAATATATTATTCATAAATGAATTCCTTCTGCAATTAAAATCATATACTATAATTCAATTATTGTACTCATTTAGAACTTACGTTATTTTCGTTATTTTCGTTATTTTCGTTATTTTCGTTATTTTCGTTAGATGGTTCCAATTGTTTTAAAATTTGTTCTGTGATTAATTTAGTTGCTTCGCTTGCATTAGGTATAAGAAATTTATCCATATCGGTGATCACTGTATGATTACATTGTGTAGTACCATATTTGAAAGTAATTAGGTCTGAATGTCGTTTTCTGGATGTTATTTTAACAATACTAGTTAAAAGACGTTTAACAATTACGTGTGCTGCACCTCTACGTTCTTGTATCTCACGGAGTACAATAAGATGGGTATCAGTAATTAACAATAAGCTATAACAGGAAAATTTAGAATAAATATATATATATATATATATATGTCTCTATACATATTTCAACATATAATAAAAGAATCATTTGAAATTAAAAATTTGATTTACCTATTACAAAGGTCTCCATTAACTTTAACTTCTTGACACTTGAAGGAATGTAATAATTTAGGATCTTTCATCCATTGCTGAATAGATACAACCTCGATAGGTTCTTCACTTTCATTATTAGTCATTGTCATATCTAAAAAAAAACTTGCATGTGTTTTCAATAAGTATATATATATCTATATAAATAATTTAAGTACTGATTATTAACTCACCCAATTCTTGATCATCATCTATACTAAAAACGGGTGGTGTTTTTCTTGATCGTCTAATGTATTCTAAATCTTTATTACCCCTCATATCCATATTGCTATTAACACTCGCAGAAGGATTAACTATATAATCAAAAAGTTTTCCTTTTACTTTTTGACTCTTTAATCTCATTACCATACCAATCTTCCCAAACAGATCAATATTATTGTTCTTTGTTTTATTTGGACTTGCTTCATTAGAATTAGTCTCCGACATGTTGGCATTACATACCAAACAATGTTGCGAATTATGATCGACCAAACTAGAAACCACTTCGTCTCCAAAATACTCGTGTATTGCTAAAGAATTGTAACATAATCTATTTATAATTTTGATTTTATTTCATTAATCCCTTGCACTATTTAACATATAGAGTAACATGTTATATCTAGTGCTATATTTAATGCTTTTTATGCTTGACCCATAAAATTCGTCACTAGTTTCTCATGTTTGTATCATAAGGTTTATCATGAGTATCACACGTTATTATAGTGCATGAGATTTATTTAATAAAAAGTATGTATCAAATATATTTGATCATACCTTGGTACCCTGAAGTAACCATGCTCACATATTGAGTGTGTTTTTGCAAAAAAGAAGCCACTACCATATGAGTATATCGATCTTCCTCTTGTCTGCCACTACCTAAAAAGACAAGATGTTCTCCTCCTGCGTCCGAACCAACAGCTACTGCATGACGCTGTGCTTGTAATAATCCTTGTACTGCAGTAGCAAATGCAGATGGTTCTTGTAACATCTAAAACAATGAACATTACATTAATAGTATTTATTAATATATAAAAATTGTATAATATTTATAGTATTTATAATAGAAATAAAATAACAATAAACATACCAAATTACAGTCCAAATGAAATGCGGTTGGCAAATGTCCTGCATTATATTGTTCTGCAGGTCGACAATCAACTAAAAAAAATCTAACTGATTCAACAGAATTGTTAGACATGGACGGAGTTTCAATAGCATTTTCTACTAATTCTTGCGCAGATACTGGTAAACATAAAGCATGCGATATCAATTTATTTTCATAATTATCACCAAACATAACAGGATACAAGTCGTTTTTAAAAGATGATGGAGTTTTCATTGCATAATATTGTGCTAATGAACAAAAATCTGTTACATCTTCGGCTTCCAAAGCACATGGCATCATTGATATGGCATCTATTATACTTTGTTTACCTTCATCTTTCATGCTTAATATTTGCTCTCTGTACAAATATAGAAATGAAAGTTTGATTTAATATGTGCAATATTTAAATAATAATATTACAATTAAGTAAAAAATTAATTGTTTTCTAACCTTGCATTTATTACCATTATAAGAGAAAGAAACAACATAAAAAAAGGATCAGCTTGCATAAAATATAAATCCCACATTGTACATACAGCTGGTAATGAACATACACCAGCAAATAAAGTATTCACCCACCCTTTCGTATATTGATCAGGTGATACCCTTTTTGTATCCAAAAAGGAACACAATTCTGGCTCATGATATAACAGCAAAAGTCTTAATACAGAACTATATATTTCACCTCTGAAAAATACAAATAACGTTATATTTATTGAAGAAATCAAATCCACTTAATAATAAATTTTTACCTTGGAATATATAATTTTTTTATTGCCTCAAATAAATTATATGTTGAAGAGCGTGGTAATTTTAAAGCTACTAATGGACCAAGTAATTCTAACCAACCATTTCCTCTTTCATATTGCACTCCTTTAGTTTTACAATAATATGTTATAATTGATTCCAAGTCGGAAACAACAAACACTTTATCTTCATCGTCATTTCCAAGTTTTGCTATATTTTAATGAAAAATATTACAATATAATACATGAAAATATACAAAAAAAAAACTCATCGAATTGATAATTATTTCATTAAAATTAATCAAAGATTAATATTTTGTAATAATCAAAATAAAAAGCAAACTTACCAACAAATTCTACACAATCATCTCGTATAATATTTTGTTCCGGCAAGTCAAATACCTCATTAAAATGGCTTAGTTGATTACCTCGATCAGCAACATCTAAACATGCTTGCCAAACATCTGGTCTTAGATCTTCAGGTACTGCCTGACCTTTACATATTGCATATATGTCAGACGCAGATGGTGCTTCGTCATCAAGCAATGCTGCTTCTAATTCCAGTATCCTAAATTATTAATTAATTTTAATTAAGCATATTCATTATTCAAACAGATATTTCTAATATCTCAGATAATTGTTATTATATTTGAAACTCATTATTAATAATAATTATTCATGTTACCATAAATGTGTGTTAATCAAAATGCATATAGGTATATATAACAGAGACAAATAAATAAGAGATAAAGAAGCTTAACATTGACTGATAATATTCACATAATTATTGAATGTAGAAGTATAATGAAATAAGTTGTTTTTTGTTTTATTTTAAAAGATTTACCAATAGTAATATAGAATTTGAATTGTTTATTAATTTCACACAAACAATATGTAAATTTATATATTAAAAATACTTATTTAGAGATGGAAGCATATTTAAGATAAATTGATACTATATGCGTATATTTAACAAATCTTAACGGGATTATTTAAATATAGTAAACAAAGTGTGACGTAAAATTATGTTAAGTATAAATAATCGTTATAAAAACTACTGATATTAAAAAATAATATTTTCTTATAAAGACATACCACGTCTTGCCTTCTTCTAGTATTGCCATTTTGACAAGTGCCACTATTTAAACGAGATACAATATTAGTTTTAAAAAACAACGTCTTCTAATTATATTTGCTTGCATATACTGTATAACTTCGATTAGTAAGCATCGTTCAAAAAATTTGATAATTTTTGTGATGATTCTCTAACTTCATAACCTCTTCAAAATTTAACAACCTTCTGGCATGAAAGTTGATAAAACATCGTTCCTGTTGACAGATCATCTTTACTTGAAAATATAGCACATGCGCTTAAAAAGAGCGCGAAGTTTTTAAATGCAATAACATCGTTCAAATTTATATCCTGAAAAATGAATAATGATTAAAATTAATATAATAAATAATAATAAACATAATAATAATATATTATCTAAGAAAAAAAAAAAAAACTAATTATCATTAGAACTATCAATCATTATGTTTCATTACAAAATTATTATATGTATATACACATACATCTTAGGATAATAAAAATAAAAAATAGATAAAAGAATTGTAAATTCAAAACTTTATATATATATGAAACAATAAAATTATCTTATATAACTTTGGAACAAATAAGAAAATATAAGTAATACAAGAGTACAAGGATAATATGTAATCTATGACAATAGATAATAGCGACAACTTCTCGATATGGTGAGATAAAGAACTAAACAGTGCATAAATCATAACGTTGGAAATCGTATACCCAAGGAGGTGAAGTAGTTCACAGTAGAGACGATTGTGATTAATTATAGGGTGAAACGTAGTTGTAAAGGCGATGTAAGTTCTTCTGTATTAAAACTAATTAAAAAATTCAAACTGGAATGAACTAGAATAGAAGATTTCTCTTTTCATCTTTTATACGAATACAATTATTCCGCATGACCACAAAACTCTGGTTATTCAAACGCTCTCCAGCAGCGTATCGGTGTGGGCATCGGTAAAAGAGAAAAAGAAAAAGAGAAAGGAAGAAGGGTTAATAAAGAAGAAATAAAAAAAGAAGAATTATATTTTGGAAAATAATTAAATTATTCTTGATAATAAAGTATGTCAGCAGCAAATAGTGTGGGTAGTGTAACCAGCAGTGCCTTACCAAAATGGCAACTCGCTTTAGCGGTAGGAGCTCCGGTAGCTTTAGGACTTGGTTACATGTATTATAAAAATAATAAAAAGCCATGCTCGAAACCAGAACGTGGTAAATCTAAATATGGCTTGCGAGAAAATGGTACTAATAATAAGAACGATAAGCAAATTTCGATCGATGGAGATTGCAACTCAAAACCCGAGAACACATCACAAATTGAGGTTAGAAATGTAATTACAAATTTCATTGATCGTGTGTATTCTAATAAAACATATGATATACTTATCTATAGTTCAAAGAAACATGTGTCATAGTTCAATAGTGCATGACAGATTAATTCATGACACGCTAGAGCATGAACTCATAACTTTTAATTTAATTAATATCAATCAATTTCGAATATACTTATTCATTTACTTATACTAAAAGTTCATTTTTTTTAGACTCCCTTAGAAAAGGCAAAAAAATTTAAGGACGAAGGCAATGTTCACTTTAAAATAGGAAAATATGACGAAGCTATAAACTTATATAATAATGCCATTGATGCTTGTCCAAAAGATAATAAAGAAGAATTGGCTATATATTATCAAAACAGAGCTGCAGCTTACGAACATTTGGTACAAATTGTTTTTCTAATTGTATAGGTGATCACTATTATAACTGATATTAGATATATATATATATTTATATATAATCATTAAATATTATGTTACAGAAAAAATATAGTGCAGTAAAAGCAGATTGTACGAAAGCATTAGAATTAAATCCAAAATATGTTAAAGCATTTTTGCGTAGAGCGCGAGCTTTAGAATATAGCAATGATTTAGAACATGCCTTAGAAGATGTTACTACTGCGTGTTTCTTGCAACGATGTACCAATCCATCTGCCTTAACAATAGCAGATAGAGTTCTAAAACAACTTGGTAAGTTTTTTCCATTGGAATCTCATTTTAAAAACTTTCTAGCCAAAGCTGAACTTCATTTTTATAGGTAAGCAACGTGCTCAAGAACATTGGGCAAATAAAAAGTTAATAATGCCGAGCAAGCATTTTATCAAAAAATACATCAATTCGTTTAATAATGGTCAAGTTTTTCTTATAAATAAAATCTTGTGCCGTGATAATCTCTCTACGTAAGTATTTGACAATTATTTTAATTTATATATCTTTCAATAATTATATTCTTAATAACAATAATCGTAACACTATGTAAATTTATAATGTTTGTATTTTTCTTTAATACTCTGCAGAGGCTTTAAGAAAATTGTAAAAGCATTAGATGATCAAGATTATGATAACATAATATCACTTTGTACAAATGAAATTAATAACAAACAGTCAGAAGAAGTCTTACCATGGGAAATGGAAACGTTACTTCTAAGAGCAACATTTTATTTACTCTTAGGGAATCATGAAGCAGCATTAGAAGATTTTGAAACAATTATAAATTCACCTAATGCATCTACAGAAATAAAAGTTAATACTTTAATTCAAAGAGCAAGCTTATATATGCAACTTGAAAATCCAGACAAAGGCTTCATTGATTTTGATTTAGCTATTAATCTTGATCCAAATTGTAGTGATATCTATCATCATAGAGGACAGGTAATATAATACGTAATATGTGTTTTAGATTATATAAATGATATATTTTAATACGAATTACATTTTGGTATTACATTTAATTACATTTGGTATTATATGAATATTAGGTAGATTTGCTTATGGACAAAATGGATGAAGCAAAAGAAGATTATCAAAAAGCTGTTGATTTAAATCCTGATTTTGGATTAACAAATATACAAAAATGTTATACGGATTATCGTTATGCCATGAACAAGAGGAATGTACAAATGGTAGAAGTTTGCTTAGAAAATTTTAAAAAAATAATTGACAAATTCCCTGACTGTCCTGAATGCTATACATTGTACGCTGAGGTATATTAAAATATTCTATGTTTATTTTATATTACAGTAGATTACCGTATACCATTGTACATTATTATTATTATGTAACATTTTAAATTCGTATGTATATATACCATTATATAATATAGGTGTTGTCAGAAACAATGGATTATGCTTCAGCAGATAAATATTTTGCTAAAGCAATTGAAAAAGATCCAAATAATGCCACTACATATGTGCATAGAGGATTAATGCACTTACAATGGAATAATGACATTAATAAAGCTATCGAATACATAAACGAAGCATTGAAACTTGATGACAAGTGCAAATTTGGATATGAAACTTTAGGAACGATAGAAGTACAAAGGTACATCAAATTTTTAATATGAATGATATACTTCTTAACATATTCTATATATGTATTTACATCATTGAATTGTTTATTATGAAAGTGATGCAAGTAAATTTTTTTTATACATAGACTTACACCATTTTCATAATAAGCGATCCAATTGATGATTTTGACTTTTATAATAATACTTATATCATATTTTATAGAGGAAATTTAAAAGAAGCTATAGAACTGTTTGATAAAGCTATAGCACTAGGTCGCACATCAATGGAACTCACACATATTTTCAGTTTAAGGGATGGAGCAAAAGCGCAGATTATCATAAGAGACAGATTAGGATTAGATCCAGATCTTAAAAATTTTCTAAATATGCCATAAAATCTTTTACGTTTCTATGTCACGAAAATTGAAATAGGTATAATGTATAAAATAAAATTTGAAAATGTATTAATTCTTTGCTCGAGCAACTGCAAAAAAAATACGTTCCTGTATGAAGCTATAGAGTATAAATTTACATATATATATTTATATATAA